TTTGAGCAAGCATTTCACAAAGAATTTTTAAAACAATGAAAACATACCCTCTATGAAGGAACAAAAGAGAAATGCACGAATTCAAGAAAAAAATGGTATGATAGCAGGACGAAGTGAAATATGCACTGGACAGATATAAGAATAAGTAGAAATTAACGGAAATTAATGGAAATTAGGTAGAAATTAGAAAGTACACAAGGGTGAATAAATATTGGGGAAAACAATAAGCGAAATAGAGTATAGAACTAAGAAAAGTGAACAAAATGAAAATGAAAATGGAAAGAATTAGAGAGAAGATGAAAGATACACAAGACAAACAAAGGAGATCCAACATATACATAATTGAAGAGCTTAAAGAAAAAAATGAAAATAAAATAGTGGAATGGAAAATATTTAATATTTTGTCCAAGAAAACTTTGATGAAATAAAATATTTAAGTCTACCTTTTCTAATAGGGCATATTGCATGCCAAGAAAAATTGACCCAGAACGTCAACATTGAGATTTATTCTAGCAACATTACTAGATTTCCAAGAAAAAGAAAGATCACTTCACACCTGTTAGAATGGCTGTTATCAAAAAGACAAGCGATAACCATATGATCCAGCAATCCTACTTCTGGGTATAAATCTGAAGGAAAAGAAATCAGTATCTTGAAGAGATATCTGCACTCCCATGTTCATTGCAGTATTATGCACAATAGCCAAGATATGGAAACAACCTAAGTGTCCTGATGGATGAATGGATACAAAAATGCATATATGTACAATACAATATTATCCAGCCCTAAAAAAGAAGGAAATCTTGCCATTTGCGACAACATCGATGAACCTGGAGGGTATTATGCTAAGTGAAATAAGCAAGACAGAGAAAGACAAACACTGTATGGTATAATTTATATGTAGAATCTAAAAAGCAAAGTTGAACTCATAGAAACAGAGAGTAAAAACATGGTTGCCAGGGGCTGGGAAGTGGAAGAAATGGGGAGATGTTAGGGTACAAACTTTCACTTATAAGAGGAATAAGGTCTGAGGCTCTAATGTACAGCATAGTGACTATAATTGATAATACTGTCTTGTATACTTGAAATTTGCAAAGAGAGTAGATCTTAACGATTCTCAACATATACAAACAAGGTACTATGTGAGGTGATGGATGTGTTAATTAACTTGATTGTGGTAATCATTTTATCATGTATACATATATCAAATCATCACGTTGAATAATTTAACTATATATAATTTTATTTGTCAGTTATACCCCAATAAAGCTAGAAAAAATGAAAAAAAAAAAAAGGAAGAAAAAGAAAGAATCCTTAAGGCAGTGAGGCAGGGTAAAAAGTCAGTTTAATCTTCGATTTCTCCACAGCATCATTCAATGTTAGAAAACAGTGGAGCAGGACCCACAGTTATTCTGAGAAAGAAACTGTGACACAGCATTCTTTTATACCCAGCCAGACTTTCCTTCAGGTATGAATGCTATAGAAACATAGTTTTCAACATGCAAGAACTCAGAGAATATTGCTCCCATGAGTACTTCTTGAGAAAATTATAGAGTTTTAACTTCAGTCAATGAAGAAATAATGGAAAACTAGGGCAAAGAAGACAGGAGTATGCAAAGAATATATTTAACTGAAGAACTAAGACCTGAGCATATGTGAGTATTGTAGTAATGGAATAGAATGTACATGTTTTATATTCTAACAATGGAGAAATGGCACAAATATTAAAATTTGGAAGGGGAATGAGGGACAAGGTGGGAGAAAGAATGAACTTGCTCTTCACGAATAATAGCTGGGGACCAAGGAATATCATTTGACGCTGACAAATATAGTAGAAATGTAAGCATATGTAATTGTACAAAGGCAAACATAAAAAAGATAATGCTAGTGATTAGATGGAATGGCAGAGGAAGGGTAGCGTGGGGAAGAGGACATAGGCTAATGTTATGGTTACTCTTCGTAGGGATGAAGAGCTACTGTTTAAAGAACGAGACAGTGAAGGGCACATGGTCATAAAGGCAATCGTTAGGACCCAATCAAAATTTCCTAAGTATTACAAGAAATATACACCAAAGTGAAGGTAGCTGAAAACATAGTGAAAGATTTCAAAATTATAAACACAGAAAATATACTATAAAATATTATGACAGAACAAAGACTAAACAAGGATGGCATATCAAGTAACATAAAGGGGCTAAACCGACCTTGTGAAGGAAGAACACAGAGCTGTTTTGGTGGAAGTGTGTATGTGTCTGTGTGTATAAGTGTGTGGGCATACGTGTGTGTATCTGTGGATGTATATGTGTGTATGTGTACATATCTGTGTGTATGTGTGTTTCAGTGTGTATATGTGTGTGGGGGTATGTGTGTGCATGTGTACGTATGTATGTATGTGCGTATATATGCATGTATGTGTCTCTGTGTATGTACGTGTGTGTGTGTGTGTGTGAGGTGCAGAGCACACACAGTCCTCTCCTAAACCCCTGCACCGTGGTAGACCATGAAGGAACCCCCTGGGCAGGTTTGAAAACCATGTTCCAGCCCGCCTCCAGTAAGTAGGAGAGAGATTCCAGGTGAAATCCAGGTCTGGGGAACCCAGGGTGTCTAGAGGACCCCACAATTTACGAGGAAAATATTCTCCTGGCTTTGTCTCCCTGCCCTGTGGCCCTGGAAGCATTGGCTGGAGTTGGGGGAAATCAGAAACCTGCCCTCATCTGACCTTCCCACTGCTTATTCAGCTCATTGGTCCTCACCTCGTCCCACCCCAAGCAGGGTGTATGTGGCCCTGGGACATAGACCCACCTGCTAGCTCACAGCAGCACAGGCATCTTGGAGTCAGGCGAGAATCAGATGGGAATATTCCCCACTTCCTCCTCCTCCAGTGGTGAGGGACAGTTACCTTAGGTGGGGCCTCCAGCAATAGCTGCAGGTCTTAGAACCAGGTGGATGGAGGGTGTTTCTGGGCCTTGGACTTTAAGTCACCCTGGTGTTGACAAATCCCACTGGGTGTTGGGGGTGTCAGCCCATAGCTGTGAGGGAACATTTGGTTATTATGGTCCCACTGCTCAGGCCTAGGTGGGTGATTGGGTCTCCTGGGGGTGACAGGGCAGCAGCAGAAAAGCTCACTCATTTCAGCCTCTCTTCTCCAAGAGCCTCCCTCAAGGGCCCAGATTGCCTTATGGGGTGGCGGTGGTGGTGGTGTGGGGTTCCACTTGTCCAGCTTTGCTCTGCCATAGATGCTCGATGAGCAGTTGGGGCAGGGGGAGGCCCAGGAAAACCCACCGATGGCTCAATCCACCTCCGACTGTCCACCGAGAGCTAGAGTCACTGGATATTGGGGGAAGTGAGGAGGCCTTAAAGGTCATTTCATCCAGTCCCTTGTAGATGTGGACGCTGGTCCTGAGACTGAGGTCACCCAGAGACTGCTGCCTGCTGACTCCTGGGCCAGTGCTCTTTCCACCACCACGCACCAGCACAAAGGGGGCCCAAGGGACTTGAGTGTGCCAGGCCGGGAGGCGCTAAGAGGGTGAGGTAGGATGGAGGGGCCAGGACGGAGGAAGAGCAGCATGGAGGGACTGGAGGCAGGAGGGATCTGTGGGGAGTTTTTAGGGCTGTGCTGCAACTTCCTTTTGATTCTCTTCTGATGCTCAATGTGCTGAGAAGAGAAATATGTTTGGTTACTGTAGAAACTGCCACTTGTCCAGAAAGATGCTGAAGGCACAGACAAATGAGAGGATGCATGAGGGGCCCAGTCCCCCAGGCCCCTGGCTGGAGGGAAGGGGAGGCCTGAATGGGACTGAAGGAGGGAGGGGAGGCTCTTTATCACAGAGGGAAGGGAACGCACAGGTGTCTTAATTAGTCCTGTTGGTCTCCTGCACAGGATCAGCCTTGGTCCACAGCTCCAGTGCCAAGGGAGAGTGGGTTCTGCACAGATACTGCAGAGTCTCACAGAGCTCAGGCAGTGGCTGCAGCTGTCCCTGAGCCAGGCTCAGAACCGGAACCAGAAGCTTCAGGAAGCTGGGCAAGGTGCTCCCTCCTGTTTGGGTTTCTGGTTTGTCTGCAGCTGTTTCTTCTCTCTCCATGTAAAGTGGCTTTCAATAGAATATGGCCACTGCCGTAATCTTTAGCTGGGCAGCCATGCGCCCCTGCTCTCTAGTTCATGAGCAGAATAAGCCAACTTGGCTGACTTGCTACAAGCCTATGTTCCCGGGGTGGCGTGGGGGCTGAGGAGCTATTTGGCCCAGTGTGGGTCAGGTCCAGGACGGCCCCATCAGCTCTGGTCAGGGGTCAGGGATCAGGGTGCCTGGACAGATGTGGCTGCTAGGGTATTTTGGGGGATGGAGATGGTGCTGCAGGCTCACAGTTACAGGGACTCCAAAACACAGTGGCTCAAACAGCACTTGGCAGCTCTGCTCCCATGTGGTCATGCAGGCTTCCAAGCTCCTTCCTTCTGGTGGCTCCGTGGTGGCCGAGCATCAGAATCACCTGGAGAACTTGTTAAAACACAGGTTGCTGGGCCCCTGTCTCTGATGAGTAGATCTTGGCTGGGGCCTGAGAATTTGCCTTTCTGACAAGTTGCCAGGTGATGCTGATGCTGAGGCTGCTGGTCCAGGAACCAGAGGTTGAAAAATGACTGCCTCGGTGTGTGTCCTTACCAACATGTGCGGAGCTGGCGCTGCCACATTCATGTGCCAAGAGAGAAAGGCCGGGGCAGCCAACTTCCTTTTGAGCAAGTGGGGCATGCAAAAGTGGCTGATTTGTGCCATGGGCAAGGACTTAGTCACGAGGCCACAGCTGGCTGCAAGGGAGGCTGGGCAGAGTCATCTGTAGCTGGGCAGCTGTGTGCCCTGGAAAAGGGAAGAGCGTGTTTGTGGGAGACAACGAGAGGTCTGCCAGAGTGGGCCCTGGGAGTCACACGGAGGTGAAAAGAAAGGGCCAGCATCTAGTGGTGGGACAGGTGTGGAAAGAGACTCCTGTGGTGCTTGGTGGCCACTGTCGTAATGGCGGTTTATTCCGGAGGAGAAGCCCATGTCTGCCTGCAGGCATCAGCAAAGGCTGCCTGGAAGGAAGCAAGCTAAGCTTTGAAGCAGGAGAGGAGCTGGCTGCACTGGGCCTTCCCTCTCTTGAAGGCAGCTAGGTGTTGCTCCACCTGGGCTCTGCTCTCTTCCCTCTTCAGCCATCCAAGATGGTCCTTTGTTCACTGTCCCCAGTATTTTGTTGAGGCTGATATTTTCCCAGGTCTCCAACTTTCTTTTTCTCTCCCATCCCCAGGCGTCCTGGCTCTGGAGAAAGCTGCGTGGCAAGAGGCGGCTGGTGATGGCATTCTGCCTCTTGATGACTCTGTCTGTAGTGGCTGTCACCCGCTTCCCCCCACAGCATCCAGCTGCCGGCCTGGACCCTGGTCCCATGGAACCCCAGGAAGTAACCAGCGCCCCTGACCCCCGCAGCCGGCAGGCTCTGAGCTCCAGCCGGAGGCAGCGGGCAAGAAGCCTGGGGTTCTGGCGAGACTGGGCCTTGCCCAGGAATTCCGACCTAATGTGTGCTGAGGAGCAAGGCCACAGAGGGAGAGTGGACAAAAGCAGGCAGTCCCTGGGAGGGGACAGCGGACGTCCAGGGAGGGTCAGGCGAGACATTACTTTGGCATCTCTAGGAGATCTGAGACTCAGTACCCGGCGTCTTGTGCTCCTGAGGGAGGATGAGGTCAGACGTCCAGGAGCCAAAGAACTGGGCACCCCCTGGCACAACGGTCCCACCCAGGAGGCACAGAATGAGACTGGCACCCTGTTCGGCCTCCTCACAGGGCGTGACACGGCAGCTCGAAGGACTTGGAGAACTACTGCTGGACCGACCCTCCGGCTGCGTCCAGTGGAAGGCAGGGATCTGCCAGGAGCTGGGAACAGAGCCTTGACTGGTGGGCAGGGAGCAGGGGATCCTGCTCCGGTTGCAGGGGCTCGTCGGTGGCCTGACTCTGTTGGGGAGCTGCAAGGATCTGTCTGGTGTGACGCTGAGACCCCTGGGCTGTTGACTGGCTCAAGGACAGAAGGGCAGGTTCCCCCATGGCTCACAGAGCACGATGTGCAGACCCTCCGGCTGTTGGCCCAGGGGGAGGTGGTGGGCAAAGCCAGGGTCCCCGGCCACGGGCAGGTGCTGCAGGTCGGCTTCTCTGCCGAGGGTGCCCTTCGGGACGTGTCTCCTGGGCTCAGCCCACTCTGCTCCCAGGGGCTCTGCGGCCTGATCAAGAGGCCTGGGGACCTGCCCGAGGTCCTGTCCTTCCACGTGGACCGAGTCCTGGGGCTGCGCCGGAGCCTGCCTGCTGTGGCCCGGAGCTTCCACAGCCCCCTGCTGCCCTACCGCTACACGGATGGTGGCTCAAGGCCTGTCATCTGGTGGGCGCCTGACGTGCAGCACCTGGGTGACCCAGAGGACGACCAGAACTCCCTGGCCTTGGGCTGGCTGCAGTACCAGGCCCTGCTGGCACATGGCTGCAGCCGGCCGGGCCAGGCCCCGTGCCCGGGCATCCACCACGCCGAGTGGGCACGCCTGGCGCTCTTTGACTTCCTGCTGCAGGTAGGTGGGGCCGGGCGGGCGGGGCGGAGGGCAGCGGAGGTAGGGACTGGAGGAGATTGAGGCCCTGGAATTGCCCGCCTGAGGCTGGATGGTGACTCTCCCTCCAGTCCTTGGCTTTCGACCACCAAGCGCCTGTTTTTATTTTTCTGCCCCTGTGTTTATTCATCCAGTGGTGTGCTGGAACCAGCTCATATGGGCTCACAAGAGGTGATTGCTAAAGTTTTCAGGAATTTTGTGACTTGATTGTGAAACACAAGCATTATTAAAAATTAAATTATATAGACTAACAATATAATAAATTATATTAGAAAAAAAGGTAATGAATACTCAGAACGGCGTAGCTGTTCCAGGGCCTGTGAGCTGGATGTCAGCCATGGAGCCACACGTGTAGAACTGTGGCCAGAGAGACACAAAGACAAAAATATGAATAAAGCTCAAAAAGGGAGGATATGTGTACCGAGTGCACAGTGAGCCAGCCCCATTGACCGTGGTACGTCCAGCCCCTCCAGTCTATGCCCCCGTGGCTGCTTTGTGGAAGGGGGATCCTGGAGCCTGGTGGTCGGCATGGGCTTTGACATCACGCAAACCTGAGTTTGAACCTGCTGCCCTCAGGCCACTTCCTGCCGTGTGACACTGAGTAGGTCACTTAGCCTTTCTGAGCTTTCCTTTTCTAACCTCTAAAATGGGACTGAGTGTCTGACCTTATCCCCTCGGGCCTGACCGTTCTAGCTCGTGGTGGCTCCTAATTGCCAGCACCTGCTTCTGTGGGTTTGCTCTGGGTCCTGAGCTGCTCTGCCCTGCATGTGACAGGCTGGGTGCTGGGGAATTAACGCCCTCCGGATAGTGTGACCAGCCACCAGGATAGGACAGAGGGGTCTCCCAGACCACAGGACTTACAGTCCTGGGCAAACTGGGAAGGCTGTTGTCACGCTGCCTCCAGGAGCAGCCTCCAGGGACTGACGGTGCTGGCGTGTCAGAGCCCCGGCTCCCTGGCTGGGGCAGCTCTGGTGCATGTTCTACGTGTCTCTCAGAGTTCCCCCTGGGACTGGGCCCCAGCTACCCACAGTGGTCATGGCTGGCCCTCCCTGTCTCATTTCCCCACTCCCTGCTTGTGGTTTTGGATTAGCTCACAAATAAACTGCTTTTGCTTGAATTCTTGTCTCGAGGTCTGTCTCTGGGGGAGCCCTGCTTACGTCAGATGATAACGCTGGCCTTGTGTGGTTTCTGCACTCGAGATCATTCCTGTAATGTACTTAATGCAGTGCTTGGCGGGTGGCACTTGCTCAATAATAAGCAGGCACTGTCTCCAACACTTGACGACAATTAACTCGTCCAATCCTTATAGCAACCTTACAAGCAAGATACTACATTATCCCTATTTTAAAGTTGAGAACTTGAGGCCTAGAGAGGTTAAGTTACTTGCCCACGGTCACAGCTGGTGGAACCAAGATGCAGCCTGGATGGTCTGACTCCAGAGCTCACCGTCGTAATCACAGAGTCGCCATTCAGCTGACCAAGACCGAGGGCAGGAAAGGGGGACGCTTGCAGGGATGCCCGGGGGCCACGAGATAGGACGCACCTCCTTGCCAGGTCCCGGTCCAGCTGATGTGCATGCAGTGGCTTTCTGCGCCACACAGAGCCCCTCTGTCCATTTCCTGGGGTTGCAGTGTGGGACCCTTCCTTGGCTGCCAAGCCCTGCTGTGAGGACGGAAGTCTCAGCAGCCAAAGCCCATACAGGTTGGGTGTGTGGTCAGATGCGACTTGGCTGGCCTTGTGCCACCTCTTCCCTGGTTTGCTGAACACCAGTCAAGTCAAACACCCCTGTCTGGCTGACGCCACCTTCCTAGAAACCACTGGCAAGTCAGAGAGAGGTGGGGCTGTGGATTTCCCAGCACAGGAACCGGAGGTACCTTCACCAGGGACTGGGTATAAACTCCATATACAGCCCACTCTGCAGTATGCTTGCTCATTTGTTTCGTTTTATCCAATAATAAACACTTGTTTTTTTGTGTTTGTGTATCACAACATACCATTTACCCAGACACAAAATATACACGCACTGCACACATACACATTCCTTACACCCCCACAAATCATACCCTATGCTTCGCAAATCCCACGTAACACTCTGTATTAGTCAGTGATTGCTGAAATAATGCTGTGTAACAAACCTCTTCAAAACTCAATGGCTTAAAACACGGGCTCTTTATTTCTTGCTCCAGGGTCTGTGGTCAGCTGGGCTAAACTGAGCTTGGCTCCAGGCTGTGGGCTGGGTTCAGGTCTGCTCTTCATTGCTCATCCTGGAGCCCAGACTGAGGGGGCAGCACTACCCAGAGCAAACTCTTCTCATGGGGAATGGAAGAAGCCCAAGAGCTCAACCAAACTGCAAAAGCACATTTAAGCCCTCTGCCAATGTCACTTCTGCTAATATTCCATGGGTCAAAGCAAGTCAATAGCCAGGCCCAACATCAGGGAAGGAAAGTGCATTCTGCCCAGAATAGAAGTGGGAGTAGAAGTGGGAGAGGAGCAAATATCTGTTAGACAATAATCAAATCAGTTACACACACCCCAAACACATGTATTGCACACTTATACATGAACCTTATATGCCCACATGTGCCATAGCCACACACACCTGCACACCATTCACATGAACCATACACTCACATACATTCCATATGCTGCCCAGATACTGCTGTGGGCAACTGGGCTCCATCCTGCTGAGACCTTTGGGGGAGTGTGCAGAACACGTGTCAGAGCTGTCTCACCTGAGGGCCAAGGAAGCTGGGCTGTTTACCCACTAACTCCCAGCCGTCATTGGTTGAGGCTGCTCCTGAGGGCGTTAACTTCCCGGCACTTCTAGCCTGGCCCACATGCTGGCCAGCCAAGCGTGCTCCTTCAGCCAGAAAGGGGCTATGGCAGAGAGCCACAGGCACTTGTAGAAAGCCATCAGTAGTACAGGAATAGTGAGTGCCAAGGGGACATGGGTGGGACACCAACAGCATCTGCTACTCATAATGAATGATAAGTCAAGAACAAGTTTCACAGGCCAATGTGACCAGCATGGTGCTCTCAATGAAGAAGCTGGTGTCTCTAAGAGAGATAAAGTACTAATAGTGAGTGGGTGCCCTCCCACCCCACCCTGAGCTGTGTCACAGGGAGAAGTAAGACCAAGAGGGAGCCTATTACTTCTGCATGGATCAGTGAAAAACTGGTTCTACTTGGATGGACGACATGGGTGGGAGAGTATGTACACGTGTTTGTGGGGGCTCCAAGACTCTACTCTGCTTAGTGTCATGGGCCACTAACAACTAGAGTCGCATTCACTCTGGTAAAAGGTACAAAGTTCTCCTCTTGGGACAATGACGCTGGCACAGCCAAGCCATGGTGGAGGAGAGCTAATGACCATCACATCCGCTGTAGGCCAAATCCAGCCTGAGGGGAGGTAAGCCTGGACCCCAGGGGCCTTCCACCCAGAGGCCAGGGTACGAGAAGGGAGCGCCGAGGGATCAAGCACATCTCTCTCTTTGTCTTTTAAAGGGGTCTCTTTTCTCATGTCCTGCCACCTCTTAGAGGGCGTGACTGGCTGGACTGGGTGGGTGAGCTATGGAGAATTCAAACAGACCGAGTGTTGGTAATGTTAGCTCATAGAAGTCATTCTGCAACTTCTGCTTATAAAGGGCCTTCATGTCCCTTAAAAAGCCCCAGCTGCCACCATCTTGGTTCAGGTCACCATCTTTCTTACCTGGACTAACACAGCAGCCCCCTAACTTGTCTCCCTGCCTCCACTTATGTCCTCTCCAATCCAGTCTCCTTACAGAAGCTGGAGTGATTGTCTTGGTTTGGGTTCCCCCAGACCAGGATTCCAGTGGGGGCAGCTTGTTCTGGCAGGGGATCCCAGGAAATGCCTGTAGGGAAGTGGGAAGTGAGATGGAGAGCAGGCAGCCAATAAAGGGCGTGTTATCAAGCAGGTCTCTGCTGTGGGTGACTGGGGCTTAGTTCCACAGAAAATTCTGAGAAATGGTATAAAATACATGCTCAGAATTAGCCCACCAAGAGGTGAGGGGGATGTGAGGTATTTATAGCCAAATCTCCCATTAGTCTTTGGTTGAGGGCTGCTCCAGGAGGTGTTAATTCCCTGGCATTCGGAGAAAGCCCCAGGCAAAGCCATGCAGCAGCTGGGAGCTGGAGGGAGAGCTCTGAGGTTCAGACCCTCTAGTCAGGCGCAGAGAGCACACCTCTTTACAATTGTAAATCAGATCGTGTCACACTCCCTGTTAAAATGAGGCAAGGCCCTCGCAGTGCCCTCAATATCAGGTTCTTCAAGGACCTGCGTGATCCATCCCCTTCTGCTGTCTCCAGCCCCCTCTCTTGGCAGCTGGCCTCGGTCAGTTTCTTTTTTTTTTTTTTTTTA